ATAGGAGGCGGTCACCTAATAAACCAATCAGCGGCAAGGAAGAATGTAGCCCTGTTTATACAGAATACAACAGGTGAAGTCGACCCTTTTCACACACGCTTTAATCTACTGCACACCAAGTTTTCACAGTCTTGTCGCCACTGCCGTATCGGCCCTTGCGGGCTTATACGCATCGGCTCACGAACCACCAAGACTCCGGCTTGTTCGGTTACTCACGGCATTCTTTTAAAACAAACACTTCAGCTTGGAAAACTTAACATATGGTAAGCAAAGCTCAGGTTATATCATTTCAAAGTTTCCTTTCATTCAAATGTTTGTACTTAGGTAATCGAACAAAGCAGCCACAAGTTTGACCAGAAAAAAAATCAACAGAATGTCAATTAATCCTTGAAAACGACTCGCTGCTGTTGTTTGAAGTTCGTCTGCATAACTGAATTGATTGAACTTAAGGTCGGCATCTGTCAGATTTGGTGAATGCCTTCCCCTAGCTATGTTAAAATTAGAACACAGCACGGTACTTATCTTCAACAGTTTCAACATCTTAATTATTTATGCCCATAAAACCCGTAGTGGTAACCTTAAACAACTGATTTACGAGGCAAGAAATTCGAGAAAGATATGCGTTTCACTGAACCCAACTTACAGAAACTGACCCCTTAAATCAATTTTGCTGATTCAGGTAAAACGAGATATGCTGAGCCAAAAATCCTTAAAAATAATTCGAGATGAACCCAGAAAGCGGGTTAATTTTACCGGCGCAGTAAATCGTTTTGTTTTCAGACCTGATTGTCTACTGGAAGAAATAAGCTGACTTGAAAAACTTCAACATAAAAGAGGGTTCTTTTTAAAGAGGTGGAAGCACATTTTTAATATCATTTTTAGATGACTCTGTCGCACTTTAAAATTTCGTGCGAGATGATGAGTAAGTTGATTCGTGATCTTTCCTAATTAGCATTTCTTTTTCTCTCAATAGAGCTAAATAATTAGAATTCAAAAACACAATGAGCCCTTGACGTTCACTTAATACCTTAAGAAAGAACCTTTGTTGCTCAGGGTTGTTTGAAATACACTTCCCTCACGACACATCGGAACACTGGTAAAAAAGGGCATCTAAAACTGCCTTCAGCGCTCAGTAGAATGTTGATAATATCATCTAAGAGAAATCACTGAGAAAAATATATATCATTATTTGAAATCCTTTAATGTCTTCGTACCTTGTTTGTTGTAACGGATGAATGGTCGATAATGGAACCCGCTGAATTATGAACTCGCCACCTGTGATTTTGCGTGCTTTAAAAAACAATGAAAACCGCTATATACGCAGAATCACCATAGATATTTTTGTCGTGATTTTCTGTTTGGTTTTAGTTAAAATTGTTTTATTTTTCATTGAGCGGTTTGAGAGCTAGCAAGAAGAGATAAAATAAGATTGTGAAAACCAAACAAATTTCCATGGCTTCTCTGATAGGAGCGTTATTGTAAATGTTGCGATTTGAAAATCTGTAATCCTTCCTGCCAAATTGCCCACGCGTATTTACGCACGCTACAAGCGTGGCGAGATAATTAAATAGAACCTGCTGTGAAAGTTATTTGATTGATTATAGCTAACTGAGTAGCAGAGCAACTACCATAAAAAAAAAAATTTGGAATAAACAGAGATGACCAGAGATCTGTAAAAACCCTACGGCCATTCCTACCAGAAAGAGACTACATTTCTCTCTTACCGCGGCACAATGCGACAAACTTCTTTATACCTACGAGTGTTTTGTTATTTGTATCTAACCAAAAAAACGCGAGGGCTCGCCGAATCGTCCACGAATCGTATTCATAGAAGCCGAACAGGTGGGGAATGGGAGGAGGGAGGGAGGGGGGGAGGGGCTTTCCTTTCCCTTTCATTCTTTTCTTTCTCTTTCTCTTTTATTTTCTTTCTTTCTTCTTTGTCCTCTTTTTTTGTTTTTGACGTTTTAAAAGGCTTTCATTTTTTTTATCACTCTTCAAAACGTAAATGGCAACATACTCAGTTGAGTTGCCAAATAAATTACCTTTAATCTACATTTTCCTTTAATTCAGTTTTGTCTGTTGAATCTTGCCAATTTACGTGAGAGACCATCTTGTGACAAATCTAAATCAAGAGCCTCTAGAAATAATATTAAACAGAACAGCCAAACTTTTTCGTGGGTTAATTCCAAATATTCATCCCGACTATGGAAACGACATAGACGTCCCAGATAAAGCTTTCAAAGCAACTTTGTCGTATGTTATTTTGTTTCTTTCAGTGCTTACACAGTTTCTAGCCACGCGATACATCGAATTACAAGCAAATTCTGCCAGATAAGTGCACCGACGGTTTCAACACTAGCTAATGGCAATTTGAGTGAGCATCACGAACTGTCACTATAAACTTCAACGGGACTCTCGCAAACTTTCAAGACAACGCTAGCCTGTCCAAGAAAACTTCATGTATGATGCCCCTGACGTACTCATCAGTTGGCGAGAATTCACCACTTGACCTGCCTCCAGGGCATATCCAATCAGAGATCAAATAGCACCAAGGAAGTCTGCGTATTGATGGAAATCGGCGCCG